ATATAAAAACAATGGAATAGTTTCGATTTTGACTGAAAGATGCAAATATCTGATTGTGTTATTCTGCCTTTACTAATACGGTATGTACAGACTAAATTCTCATACTCAGTACGTCACTATTAATGATAGTGACGTCAGGCACAAGCGACGCTCCGGGGAATGAACCCGCAAAGGTGGCTCAGTGCATCAATTGATGTCACTGCAGCGCTTCTCGTCGAGAGGTCCCAGGGTTCGAGTCCAGATGGTTGCAAGATTTTCAACACTAGCTAGACAGCGTGGACGGATTCAGCTGCTGTTTGGAAGATAATTCTAGCAGCTGGTTGCTCTTATCGGTATTTCCCGTAATTTCTCTGATCATCACAGGCGGGTGCCGAAGTAATACCCTCGCAACGGACAACGGATCGCGCGCGCTCTGCGCTTCCTCTTCCTTGTTCTATCCTCACCTCTTACTTACATATACTTACCAAAAATGTTGCTGTTAGATATCGCAACATGTGAATGGGAAGTTTTTAATGGCAGGTGGCCCCGTTCGTGGATTGATTGATTAACGATTTCGGGCGCGTCCACTGCTACGGTCATTAGTGCGTTTTATCGTGAGAGGTGGCAGTGATCTTCCTCTGTTGAATGATGAGATCCGGCGCCGACCTACGTCGGTCTCCACAACCACACATCTCCCTCCAGCGGGACCACCAGTGTGATAGTGTAGTGCCTGTGTGTGTCAATCAATCCGAGAACGGGACTGCCTACCATTAAATACTTCCTATTCGCGTGTTACGTTGTTGAACAACATGTTTAATGTTGTACTGTATGCTAGAATGTAGAATTCGCGGAAACTGTTTTTATTAAAGTAATTTATTTATTGCAATGTACAAAAATATTTTATTAGTTGTTGATACTTTTTGGAAAACTTATTTTGTGTGGTTTTGTTCAGCACAGTTTTTGCAGCTGCAGACCACTCGTTAATTATTAAGTTTGAACTGTTATGTCATACATTTCAAATTCAGGTAATGTAAACGGACATTTTCTGAGTGATATTAAACTTTAAAACGGCAATATCTCAAAACTTGGGAGTTTTGGGTTGTCTTTTGGGATTGGGGCGCTAAACACTTCCCGTTCTTACAAGATTACGCTTGCCACTTATTAGGGAGAGCTATTTTATTTTCATCCTGTCCTTTGCAACTTGTGGATGCGTCGGAAAGAAAGGAAGGGAACAGAAGAGTTGAAAAATAAAACAAAATACAGAGGAACAATCATAATTATATTTGTACGTACAAATAATAATACTGCTTACACAAGCTCTGCGCGGCGACGTTGGTCAGAGAATTGCTCCTTCCCAATGAGAATGTAAGTACTGGCTCTGCGGAACACAATCTAAACATAACATAAATTAACTAATATAAATTAAACAGGGAAGCTGGTGCAAAGCACCCTTCCAGGGAAGTTATTCTCTGACTGGCGTCGCCAGTTTCGTTCGCACTTCGGTTGCACGCTTCTTCGCTCGAGATGGCCACGAGGTTCGATTTGTGACCGATAGATGTCGCGAGAGTGCTTCTCCCTCGGACACAAATGGCCCGAATCCTACTTGCATGGATCTGTCTCGTTTTGGTATCTTTGCGCACCCAGTAGTTATAATGGTCGTAGCATGTACGTGAGATATCTATTTTTCATGAAAAATAAGCAGTAACTTTCAAGATTCCTTGGTGTTTATGTTGTCTTGATATTTTACAAATATTTCATTTTTAGCAGAAACAATCGAGATATTGAGAAATTTGTTGCATATATGAAACAACGTTAGTTAGGATCTCTGTGTTTGCCATGTCTCGTAATTGCGTCGCAAATACAATTTTACTCTATGGAGAATATACTTGAATTTTGATTAAAAAACAACATATTTAGATTTCCACAAACTGTCGTCTTCAAAATACAATATTGAATAATAAGTATTTAGCTGTGTTCGAGAAAAACATAACTTTAATCCATCTCTTACGTTTTGTGTATTAATAGTCACAAATAGTTTGTCTATTTTTCCAAACATTCAATTCCCATGAATTGTAGAATTGGATTAAAATTTTAGTGAGAGTGCTGTGACAAAGTACTTTCTTCATTTTTTTTCAAAGGGTATTCTAAGGTAGAAAACAAAGCAAGCCCCAATTCTCGGTGATTGAGAAAAAGTGTACAATAAAGATGCCAAAATTATGTAGCATTAATTAAAACGCTTCGTGTGCGTTTAATTGATCATATGTTGCTTAGGCTGATACATAACTAAAAAACGTCAATGCATTTTACTTTTAGGATTGAGTATTTTTCATATATCATCTAATTGTGATGTTCTAAATAGCGACCTAACTCTAGCTGAGGTGTTTTGCTGACATTGCCGATACTCCGTATGCATAAAATTATTATTAACATCAAAGAGAAGATATAACAAAGAAAACAATTAACATCTTTTCTGGCTCAGTTTTGTGTCTACTTTTAATAGTTTGCAATGTGTTTTGTAGGTAAACTCCCTATATACTTTAGATGTCAGCTAAATAATAAAATTAAAGGACACTTGCCGGCCAGTGTTCAAAATTATTATTTATCAAATAACACTGTTATATTTAATTATTTCAGTCTTCGTGTCTCAGTTTTTAAGCAGCACAGCGATACACATTTGGGGAGCAATATTCTTTCGGAGTATCTTTTCACCTTCATAGAACTAACAGAATTATATAAAACATTTTTGTCATTGATTCTGGCGTGAAAAATCTAATACCTATTTTAGAGTTGAAACTGACTGTGAATGTTTACGAGAACATTCCAAAGATGAAAAAAGAATTGAAGATAATCTGTTATTCTGATTTTTTCCCGCCGACTCTGAGGTTCAGCTAGTAAGAGACTATTGGATAATGTGGAAAATGACGTCCTCAATCGTGTACTGGGTCAAGACGTTTTTCAAAGTTGCAGTGGAATAGGAGGCATTAGAAACAGAGCCGGTGAAAAGTATAAATTCCAGGTGAATAATACCACGAGTAGGGGTCGTGTATTTGAGTTTTCTTAAAAAAAACATGATAACGGTATAAAATATGTAGTTTATTGAACATTTTTTAATTGAATTCCATATGCGCGCTGATCAGTGTAATAAATTGGATTTTTTTCAATTTTTGTAAATTTCAATTTTTGTCAATTTTAATTTTTGTCAAATTCTCAGTGGGTAATTATCCACCTGGAATATTTTTCCGTGGGTAGTACTACCCTTCCGCCGCCCCTGATTACAAAGAATGTTATCGAACAAGATATCTGAAAATTAATAGATAAGCTTACAATATTTTTACCGCTTTATTATTTTTTGAAGGAACGGAAAGTATTGGAAAACTTTACGGATTTCGTTCTTCTTCTTCTTCGCTATTTCCCCTTCACAAGGAGCCTGTATTTATTCCTCTGGACATCCCATTTTTTGGTTTTAATGAATTCACAGTCTACGTGAATAAAAAATATTTGATTTTCTATTGAAAACCAAAATGCATTATTCTGTATGTGCCTATTCTCGATGCGAAAAGCGAGCGCCGTATGTACGTAAATTTACCAACAGAAGTCTAATGAAGTCTTCTACTTACCACATTCACTCTTGCACACGCATACACACTCATTCGACATGCTCACAAAACTGCACTTTCATTGAAGTATAGGTTTAGGTAATGAAATTGCCGGCACAAACCTGGTACTAGGCGTTTTTATATGTGCACTTTCTTCATGATGATACATCTGCAGGGCATATTTAAAGAACACTAGGATGGAAATTTTGCTTCTCGAGTTAAACCATGATAATATCAGTTTGATACATTATCTTCAGTACCAAAAAGAGAACGTCTTTAGCGTTGATATGGATACTGAACATGTAACACTGAAGTATGAAGCATTAAAAGCAGTTTGTTGAGAGAACCAGCAAAAACTAGGGCGCGAATGATCAGTTGGAAAAGTTTCCCGAACGTTCGTACTGGATGGAAATCAAGTACCTACTCCTTGCCACTTTTGGAACATCATCAAATGAATGAATTTACACGAAAGGAACACGCGAACCTTACTACGAACTTGTAATTGTTTCGTTTGAAATCTATTTGAATTTAATTATTATCCTTTAGATGAAGGTATCATCCTGACTAAACATTCATGACGACTTTAAAATATGGGTTCATGCAGTAAAAAATAAATATGAATCAATTAATTTTTTTCTTAGTGCTTCTCGAAAGAAGGAAAGAGCCCGACAATCTCTGTGCGCGAGAGAACTTTTTGTGCACTTGAAAAGAGTTTATTTATAGTATATTAAGTTAATAGGTTATGCAATGAATTTTTACGCAGTTTTGAGTAAGTGGGATTTCCAATCAAGCAACATCCACTAAATGTTGCTTGTTTATAGAAAATATCTTTAACGCAATTAATAATATCAAGAGCCTTGATAGGATAATATGAACACATGAAAAGGATGAAGGATTCACTTGAAAATGTAGACTCTGTGACAGACACAAGATTGTCATTTTCTGTATTTTAGTGAATTTTACGTATAAATGTGTAGAAAACCTCGCACCCTATTGTTATTCAGATATTATTAGACGAATTGTGGAGATGAGCATTGTCATAAATGTTCATGCTATTCAATACAGTTATGGAGGTAAGAATATTACTTGCATGATAAAAATTACTCCCTGTTTCTTATATGCTGGGAAAACTTACTTTATTATTATGTCAAATGATGTCAAATAGAAGTGTAAGATCATCTTTTAATCATTTAAAGTATTTGTGTTGTCTTTCTAGTTAATGTTTTTCAAACTGCGTGATGTCACGATATGTGATGTTGTGATGATTCGGAGTTTAAAGTGAGAAAATAAGTATTACATAAATACTCTTCCTGTAGAATGAATTTGATTTCTTATACTCTATTATCTTATCTTATTATTTAGTTTCTCTCCGAAAGAAAGCCATTCAGCTCTTAACTTCATTTGAGAGTCCAGAAGTGGCAGAAATCAAAACGCATTAATTAATTTTATTCTTTCTTCTTGTTCTTCTTCTTCTTCTTCATCATTATTTCCCTTTCGCGTGGAGCTTCTCTTCATTTTTGCGGACGTCTCTCTGAGTTTTGTGAATTAATAGTCTGTTCAAGTTTAACGTATTTTGATTTTTTGTCGGAAAATAAAAGCTTTCACGCGCTGTGGAAGTACTAGAATGTAGTAGAAAGAGAAATGAGCGAGAAAAGGAAAAATTAACTAGCTTGACTACTCGCACAACTGAGATTTCGCTTCAATGTCCTGCAATAATTTCATGAATTGATAGATGATTCGCTCTTCATACAAATTTCGTGCCTTCGCCTTAATTTGCTGCTCTCCCATACGTGAAAAATATATCGAGATTTTTATTTATGTTCGTTCAATCCCTCCAATAAGCGTCGCTCACACCATCTTCTGCCGCATTGACGCTTGTCCTGATGGAGCAGGCATCTGGCGGTAAAGCACACCTGAAGTAGGTGGTCTTGCACTTCCAGTTCCTGCGGGGGCAGGCGGTGAATGTTCTTGTGGTTCCCGTGGTCTCGCAGCTGCAGATGTGAACGGGCGGGTGGGCGGATCTTCTTGCAAACAATGACCTACTCCTCGATGGCAGGGAACAGGCGGCAGGCGACAGGCGCTCGTCCCGCGGGCGGGTGTGTCTACTTGCAGACGGTGACCCACTCCTCGATGGTGCAGTTGTCGCAGGTGACGCTGCAGCACCAGCGGAAGCGGCAGTTGCAGCGCTCGTCCCTCCGCTCGCGCCGCTCGTCGTAGCCGCGCCCGCAGCACATGGACGCGCAGCCGTCCGCGCCGCGGCTGCCGCGGTGGCAGCGCCGCCCCGCCGTCCCTGCCGAAACAGCACCTGTCAGTTAATTCGCCTCGACCATAAGGGGAGGGGTACAAACTGTCCGCGTTTTTTTTTTCAGCTGCAGAGTCTGTATCCCGCCCGTAGTTAAATGATTATTTCAATTACCAAGGAATTGAAGTTAGCAACATTTGTCAACCAAACATTTGACTTCCGGGTAATAGAAAACTTATTTGTATTCGTACAGGAACTACAGATTCAATTTTAATGTGTTAAAAAATATCAACCCACATCCTCCGGATCTACCCTTACCACAACTCGCCTAAGGAGAGCTCAACAAAATGTGCCCTCAGTGAAGTTTATATCCAGAAGCAGATCAAAGGAAACTGGATAAAAACTTGATGAAGATTGAGGTTATACTTAGCTGCTACGTAATACAAATTCTAGCATGGGTGTAGTTAGGGCCAGATTTAAGACTGAATGTACTACTATCCTGATTAATTTTTGTCACTAAATTATTAACGAGAAATAGAATATCTGACTGAATGTTAGTAGGCTGATTTTAGTATGCTAATTTTTTCACTTTTTCACTTCATTGTACGATCATGCTTTTTAATTTTTTTGTCACTAATAGGAACATTACGGTAAAAGGAATTTAATAATTTTTTTTGTAGGTTTCATTGCTTTCCATATGTATTTACCACCTTCATACCTGTGCTCAGAAAATATGTTTATTGAATTTTTAAAAGATAAGGATCAAAGATTTTTTGTAAAAGCTTTGTAGAATTTTGAAAATGGCCAACTTGTTACTATAATTAACAAAACGTTATCTAATTCGATAATTCATTGTTAATATAGGATTCTTTATTGACTCGCTCGATTTAATACTGACCCCACTCGATTTAATTTATTTCCACCCTTTTTCACTTTGGTCTGAAGAATATTCAATTTGTGAATGTTTGATGATCATTATAGAATTTTGTTTTGATGGTACATGTTTCAATTGAAAAATATAAACCACGTAAATACATCGAACACACGACATCGATGTTTAAAAAAAGTGGCTTCAAAATCGATGTAGATGCATGGATGATTTTATAAAGACATCGATGTGTTGAAAATGTCGACATCTATATTGCACTGCTGACTATAGAGCGCGCGCTCACCGGGGAAGTCGTCGCCGGCGTCCCTCTCGCAGAAGGTGGGCGAGCGCTGGAAGTAGAGCAGGTCGAGCGGGCGCGGGCGTCGGCGGCGCCCTCGCCCTCCGCCCCCGGCCCCGAGGTATATACATAATCCTTACTAGATTTCGTCTCACGAAGAGTGTTTTTACATATATAAATTTTCTTCTTCTGGATTGTTGAGTTCATAGGTCGCGCCGTCAAAGACTTTCATCTTCTGTATGTAAATCCTCAGAAAGAAAGTGATTTGGCGTTCGACTGTTGGACATGAACACAATTCGCATGAAAACACGATAGCAAGAGTCCACACGCCACCAGTCCGATTGTATTGGTCAGTGTCCCTGATTGATAGCTCCTCAGCAACATCTCTCTCACGAATATGGCACTTTTTCTTATACTGTATGTATGCATTCTGAAAACGATATCCAGAATTTCTAGTCCATGCAAATTAAAAGCTCTATACTGTGATTATTAAAGTATCATTGTCCTCACTCGAGTTATGTTATGGACGCTAAAAAGTATGTTCTATCAGCGATTATGAGAAACAAATCAGCTGTTTTACAACACCTTAAATATGTTGCTTTCTAGTGAACGTGAATTTCTCAATTTGAGAAAACGCGATAGTTTTGATATACTACCACAAACCTGAGAAAGTATATTTGGAGAAACCAACTACAAATTAACCAGTGGCATCTTTAAATCGACGCTATAATTGGACAGATGGTTCCTCACATGTGAAGAATCTTTCTAAGTATGTTGCGCAAAGTGTCAAATATTCACTGATAACTTAAAGAAGTAATAAACGTATGAGTAAAATACAGACGAATAATATGATACTAGGCGTAGGACATACTGAATAGACTTACTGCCAGGTTCAGCGAGAAGAATACTATTTCTTGTACCATTTGGACATTTTGATGTCGTGTCCTGCATGCAACAATAACCGATATAGGACAGGTTCGAAGTACTCTGATTACAGAGTATGTTGCAAGATGTGTTGTTTTAGTTTTTAAAAAAAACTAAAGTGTAAACATTATTGGCCTTTATTCTATTTAAATCATACTAATTTTTGTATTTGTTATCTATGAAGGCTGGAAGCGACAGTTTAGGGTATACAATTGTCTAGAAACAACCATGATGGCTAGGGCACAACCATTTTAGTCGACTTAAGAAGTCTTTCTGCTTGCATTAAAAACACCCTATATCAACGGCAAAAATGAAGAACTAAACTCTCTCTCTGTTAAAGGCGCATAATTACCAAAAGCAATTGTTGAAGGTACACATAGAAATAGGGACTTAAATTGGAAGTAATTAACTATATTAAATAAAAAAAGGTTGTAGTTTCTGTAAGCCTTCTTTAGCGGAAGGCAAGTTAGTGCAGGTCCTTTTTAAAATAGTTTATGTTTTACTGGTCTGATACAGTGACTATTTGATACTTTAGTCAATAGATGATGAAATGAATGAAGACAGAGAGAAAGCAAATTCATGTCATTATAGATTGAATAACGAATGTTTATTTGTTTATGGCAACGATAAAATAATTAATTATTTTATAAATTATGGGAATAGGAAATTATAGCACAATAGATGTTTCACACTACTAGCATTACTGAATATGTGCAAATTGGTCGACCAAGTAGAATTGGTATATCAGCACAGAATGGACAAGTATCTCTAGGGCTATAGGGTGAAAATAACAGTATCTGTCGAAAGATAAGTTAAAGGGATTTCAGAAGACTCGTAGGGTAACTTATTTATTTTAATTGTGGAATGTCAACATTATGATGGGAAAAGATAAAAGCTAATTGGGAAACTTAATGGCTTTAGCAACGCTACTTCAAAGCGTCCGAATCTCTTCATATAGGAGATATTTCGTAAATTAATTCTCGGACTTATTGTTCATGTATGAAGTGGCTACGTATAATCTGGGCTGTGTTAAATGAACATTTAAAATAGTTCAAATATGAATTAAGCTTCTCCGATCCTTATAAAGGAGACATAGTAAGACTATATTGGATACGAGATATTTAGTTCTGTGTCGGCAGCAGCGCGGTGGTCGAGCAACGTGCAGCCCCGATAGCACTCAAGTGCATCTGTACTGCCCGTGTAATTTAATGTTCATTGGCAGCTCGATGAAGCTGCAGACGTAGACTGGTGAATTGGATTTCTGCGCTCGTTAGATAATTTTCACAGGCACGCCGGGTGGAGCTCGCGGCGCTACAAGGAGCGCTTGCACGATGTGTCTCGGCGTGATGCCTAGGTGCGATTGTGAGGCAACCTGTTGGGCTTAGGCGGGGCTTCCTTGCGATTTCAGACATATCTTATAAAGGTTGGCCTTGCAGCGGGAGCCCCCGCAAGACGGGTTGCCATTGTCGCTGCGCGCCACACAGCCGCCCCTACTCGCACACGTTACTGCGCCGCGTCCGATCGTTAGAAGGAAATATTTATTTCTTTCGCAGAGGATTCCTCCTTCACAAGAACTTGGTCCACCCCCCCCCCCGGGCGCGCGCGCTCGCGGCCAGCGCCGGGCCCGGGCGAAAGAACAGACGGGTCACGGCTTGATGGGGTGCCGGGGAGGAGAGACCTGGGT